CCGCCCCGCCAAAGATATGTCAACATCCTATCCCTAGAACATGGGAATGTTACTTAATTTAGAGAAAGGACCTTTGCAAATGTCATTAATAATCTTGAGGTAAGATCCTCCTGGATTATCCAGATGGGCCCTAAATCCAATGACAAGTCTTGTTAGAGACACACAGAGAAGACAGACACAGAAGATGATGTGAAGACGGAGGCAGAGATTGGAGTGATGTGGCCATAAGCCTAGGAAGCTGGCAACCACTGGAAGCTAGAAGAGGCACGGAAAGAGTCCTTCTCTAAAGCTTCTTAGGGGTTGGGGTCCTGCCAGCACTTTGATTTTGGACTCCTGGCCTGCAGAATTGTGAGAGAATAAAGTTCTGTTGTTTTAAACCACTCAGTTTGTGGCAAGTTGTATATCAGCTACAGGAAATTAATGCTTTCTGTATCAATGGCACCTGGCACAGGACCTGGCAGGTAGTTAGGTTTTTAGTAAATTTTCCTACATTAATAAATGATTTGGACCAAAAGGATTACAAAGAGAAATAGAACAGTGTTGTTAAGAATAAGCCAGTTTTTGCTTATCTATGTTTTCTCTGGTCACTCCTTTATTTAGGTTAGTAAAATATTCAAGTTCAGTAACAAGCCTGTGTACCTGAGCGTTGTTATTGGGACTTCAGAAAAGCATTGGAAAATAATTTTTTCTGCATTTTTACTGCCTCACTTAGCTAGGAGTGGTGGGGGTGATTTTCCAGTGGAATGACAGGATGCTTTCCCAGTCTCCTTCCTACTAATTAAGGTGTTTTTTGGAAATGACAGCCATCGAACCTACCTTGGCAGATTGTAGGAGCCCTCTCCTTCTTGCCTCAGAGCCCTGTCTGGAAGAATTCTGCGCTGGCGTACAGATGTGTCATCTGGTCACTGAAATGGCCTAATATTTATGATATCATCAGTCAATATCTAATTGCTGTGATCCCTGAAGAAGTCCAGTTCTGCTCACTACTCTCTAGCCACGTAACAGCTTGTGTTTAAAGGGTGTATAGATGTGAAGAGAAGCACAGTTAGACAGTTTCTTCCAACATTAAGGGGAGAAATGGTCTGAAGTCAACATTTTCAAATGACCTGAATTGATTCAAAAAGAACAAACCATTATCCACCCTGCTGGAAAACCTTGAAGGTTTTATTCTCAATATCTTAACATTAATACAGATGCTTTTTATTTTGTGCTGAGAAAACAACCTGTTACACATAATGTAACTTTAATATACAACATAGAAACTCATCCTAAATTAGTTACAACAAGGACCTACAAAAAACTTCATAGGAAAAAAAGCTACCTAATATTGCCACCATATTTTTTAGTAGACGGACCCTATCAGACCCTGTCACCAATGCTCAGCTCTGTAAACAATGGTTATATCCATGTTCTGGGGAATCGTTAGTAACGGGGACACTAAAATCAGCCTAAAAAGTTCTAGCACACCACTCTATTTTGTACAAGTCCTCAAAAATAATTTATCGTACTGTTTCTAAAAAAAGGTACTAGGGTTGTTCTTTTGCTCTGTTTCCACATTCTGGAGCTGCACATGAGCACTTTTGTCTAACAGTCTAAAAACACGAGAACTGAACCGCAATTCACAATCACAGGGATGAGGTGGTGGAGTCGAGGACTTCTCGCCCGTTGCACACCGTTGGGACGTATGTGCTTGCAGAGGCTGGAAAACAAAGCAGGACAGAAAATTCAGTGTTAGTTAAGTGGGTTACGTGGGTAGTGGCATGGATAATGCCAGACACTAGTTAAAGTTAAGTTGAAAACTCATTTTAACTTGGCTTTGGAAAATGCTAAAGGATTTAGTGCTATAGTAGGTCAACTTTCTAAATATGTTCTGCTCCAGATTAGCTTGTATCCTGGCACATACCTCCACTAATGTCATACCTCCTGGACGTGGTTTATGAGCATAATCATTGTTGAAAGAAGTCACTTGTGGGTTTAAAATTAGCTTTATAGGTAATCTATAAACTGGTTAAAAATAT